AGGAGAGAGGGGGGAGGAGGCGTCCAGAGGAGAGAGGGGGGAGGAGGCGTCCAGAGGAGAGAGGGGGGAGGAGGCGTCCAGAGGAGAGATGGGGGAGGAGGTGTCCAGGAGAGAGGGGGGAGGAGGCATCCAGAGGAGAGAGGAGATAGGAGGCGTCCAGAGGAGAGAGGAGATAGGAGGCGTCCAGAGGAGAGAGGAGGGAGGAGGCGTCCAGAGGAGAGAGGAGATAGGAGGCGTCCAGAGGAGAGAGGAGAGCGGAGGCGTCCAGAGGAGAGAGGAGATAGGAGGCGTCCAGAGGAGAGAGGAGAGAGGAGGCGTCCAGAGGAGAGAGGAGAGAGGAAATATCCAGAGGAGAGAGGAGATAGGAAATATCCAGAGGAGAGAGGAGATAGGAAATATCCAGAGGAGAGAGGAGGGGTCCAGAGGAGAGAGGAGGGAGGAGGCGTCCAGAGGAGAGAGGAGGGAGGAGGCGTCCAGAGGAGAGAGGGGGGAGGAGGCGTCCAGAGGAGAGAGGGGGGAGGAGGCGTCCAGAGGAGAGAGGGGGGAAAGAGGGAAGAGGGAGGAGGTAGGAGGTATCCAAAGGAGAGAGGAGGGAGGAGGTATCCAGAAGAGAGAGGAGGCGTCCAGAGGAGGGAGGAGAGAGGAGGTATCCAGAGGAGGGAGGAGGGAGGAGGTATCCAGAGGAGGGAGGAGGGAGGAGGTATCCAGAGGAGGGAGGAGGGAAGAGGGAAGAGGGAGGAGGGAAGAGGTATCCAGAGGAGGGAGGAGGGAGGAGGTATCCAGAGGAGGGAGGAGGGAAGAGGGAAGAGGGAGGAGGGAAGAGGTATCCAGAGGAGGGAGGAGGGAGGAGGGAAGAGGGAAGAGGGAGGAGGGAGGAGGTATCCAGAGGAGGGAGGAGGGAGGAGGGAAGAGGGAAGAGAGAGGAGGGAGGAGGTATCCAGAGGAGAGAGGAGGGAGGAGGTATCTAGAGGAGAGAGGAGGGAGGAGGTATCCAGAGGAGAGAGGAGGGAGGAGGTATCTAGAGGAGAGAGGAGGGAGGAGGTATCCAGAGGAGAGAGGAGGGAGGAGGTATCTAGAGGAGAGAGGAGGGAGGAGGTATCCAGAGGAGAGAGGAGGGAGGAGGGAGGAGGGAGGAGGGAGGATACACAGGTGCAGGTGGAAGTGTTATCACTACAGGAGTACCAAAGCTCCGCCCACAGCCGTCTGAGCTGCTTTGAATGGTAAAGCATGATCTAAGACATTACATGTTTTATGCACTTTTTTGTTTTGTTAGAATATGTATAGGGAAATCCTAGAAATGGTTTGATTTGAATCCTAATTTACGATTTGTAATAGTGGTGCTAGCTGGTGGATATACAATACCTAATATCAAACAGTTGGTACAAAACATTAGACAGTGACACGTGATAAGGCTGTGCACATCCATCTGGATAGGAAGTGGTTTCAAAGTGACTCTGGAGGGAAGAAGCTATCACGTTTCATACCCGAGGACTCCTCTGTCCTCACATGATGAGCTCAGACATAAGGGAGGGACGAGTGAAGGAACAAGGAAGCTAAATAAGGTTTTGGGATGAAACTATTGAAACCTACTGGAGTCTTACTCAGGCTTTTTGTTTTTCTTACTAACATATGGAACAGAAAGACAACAGATTGTCAAGGATACAGCACTAGCGTGGTTGATGCCCACAAAGACGGCCACGCAGCGCATCACACTGGACCACTCCCGCTTGAACTTGTGAGGCTCCCCCAGGCGCCGGTCGATGAAGGGGTACAGCAGCCCGATGCCCGCTGCAGGGGACAGAGGACACATGAACACAGACCAACTCTGATCATCATGTGGGTGGGGCTGGGAGAAGAACCTTTATTATTACTTACTAGTTCATTACTCAAACATACTTTTATCTTAATAAACAATCATATGTTTTCCTAGAATGAAGAGACTTTCAAGGTTATTGGCTTATCATGAACAATTATGTGCTGGATATGATTCTAGTGACTTCCTTTGGGTTCCCACCTTGAGAGTTGAAATCATGTTTTATTTTTCATTCTGTTTCAGAGCTTGTTAATAATGAAGTTTGTAGTTCATTCTCTATGATATGTGTGGTCATTGATGCGATGCGATGCGGAAAATCAGTGGAGAGCTATTTTCTTTCCAACTAACTGTGTTCTCTAGTAACTTGTCTTTATTAATATTGAATAAGTTGTAGAGAGAATAAAACAAAAAACTGAATATATAAAAACAATAGGCATTCAGATAGCATAAATTCAATTCTGATGAAGCACTCAACCAAAGAGGGAATACTGAACGGGCCGACCAGGATCAAAAGAGCCATGTTTCATGTGACTGATAAACCTTTGTTCACAGGACGCGCGACAAAGCAATAGTCAAAAGTCAAAGTTTCCTCAGTGCTCTGTGCCGTGAGGCAGTGAAGCTACAAAGAATCACCTTCTCTTTCCTCACTATTCCTTTCACTCAAAACTATTGGAAGAAAAACATATTTTTGCCAGTATCCAGTTCCAAATGCCAGTTACTGACATAAGCGGGCGAAAGACAAAAAAACTTGACTCGAAAAACTTGAATCAATTCAGCGATAGTGTAGCTTAGCAGTTCTGCTGCTTTCGTTGCTCGTAGTGTGAACAAAAGCGACCGTTTCTTGTTCGACAAAAACTACAAACAGACTGGATGTATTTGCTATGCTACATAAAGTTGTTATATATTTTAGGTCAACCTATTATAAACGTGTTTTTCTTTCCATTTCATGGTCAGCTTGTGTGAGTCAATAAATGAATGATTATGTGGCTAATGTATTTCAACTGTAATTGCCACAGTTTTTTTACCAAACATTTGAGAAAGCCTACAGCCATATTTAAAAAACAAAACAAATTAACATCCTTACAACCTTTGAACTACCCAATGTGGTTTCAAAACCGATTCATTTTAGCAATGAGTCAACAAAATACAGGAGCCCTCCCCTGGGGGACTAAGCATCGTGTGTGCGTATGTGCGTGTGTGTGTGTGGTAGCAACAAGTGGAAGCGACGTGGTGTGTCTGGGGAGGGAGAGAGCCCCGGGCTGTTGTGTTTAGTGCGGAGCAGCTGGGGAACGCTGTATTACTATCCACAGCTCTGCTCCCAGGGGACCACATTTCAATAATGGCAGCTAGTGGAGCCTGTGGGCATGCGGTGCACTAGTATGCAAGGCTGTGTGCATGTGCTTGTGGTTATGCTGGTTTACAGATGCATTTTTAAATACATTGGAGCTGTGCATTCATAGGACCTGTATGTAACAATTCTGCAGTTCATATTTTAAGATGAATATCTCATTGCCCTTTTCTACATATATTTGTGGTGTTTACTGTAATGGAAGACTTCTGGAGCACGGAATCGAAACACAATGAGAACACAGAATAGCTGGAACTTCGTGACAAACACTGAAGATGTATTTGAAGTTACGGCCGGAGGATTGACAAAGACATTTGCTGCAGACACAAAGTGACACAGCGCTTGCCAACCGGCAGGAACAGGGAGACAAAACACTGAGAGCACAGCAGCCCAAGGTTGGTCTGTGCTCAGTGAGGGCAGTACAGACTGATACACTGGGTCAAAGGTGTGGGCCTAGGAACATCTTTTTCCAGCATCTACATCATACAAAAAAACAAACAATACAGCTCTGCAGTGTTGTCAAACAGTTATGATTAGAAGTTGTGGTTGTATATGATAGGGGTGAGTATCTTAAGGAATCTGACCCTAAGTTTTTTATTCTTTGATTCAGAATCACTTTGCAATTCAGAATAGATCTTTTATTTAGAACATACAAAAGAAAGGAACTTCTTTCTTGTTCTTAGTGAGCTGCAGTCCATTCAAACATTCACTTATATAATATATATATATATATATATTAGGGCTGTCAAGTGAACGCGTTAATAACGCGTTAACGCAAAAACTAATTATTTTAACGTGCGATTAACACATGTGTATTTGTCCTCGGCCCGTCCCGTAGTTTCAGAGCCCAAAGGCTTGACATTGTTGTTGTTAGTTGGATGGTGGGAGATTCCAGCGAGAGATATGGATACAAAAAAAGGTGTTTGAAACAGCAAGCCAAGCACACAGCTGATGCTGACAGCCCCGCTCCTGCCGCTCCCTTGCGCTTGAAAGTTTGCCGGGGAGACGCCTGGACAACAACAGCGATAGCTAAATGGGTGGCTACAGCTTAACATTGTGGAGGACGAGGGGCTGCGTTAGATCATTCGGATCACATCCAACGTGTCGACTGCACATCACAGCGCATTATTTTGACCCACAGTGGGAACTTCAGTCTCATGCTTTGGCATTTCGCCGACAACTGTAAACAGGCTTGTCTGTTTGAGCAACTGGCTCAGTGCAAAGAAGTAGACAGGGTTGGGAGAGAGTGTGAGAGAGAGAGAGAGAGTGTAAGAAAGAGAGAGAGAGAGAGAGGTTCCAGGTTGTTGTGTTGAGAATATTCAGGAGAATATTTGTCATTGTTCCAATGATAATAAACAAACATTTGCATAAAGCATATTTGTCCACTCATATGTTGATAAGAGTATTACAAAATATTCCTCTATGGTACATTTAGAACAGATACAAAATGTGGGATTAATTTGCGATTAATCGCGATTAACTATGGACATCATGCGATTAATCGCGATTAAATATTTGAATCGACTGACAGCCCTAATATATATATATATATGCAAAAGGAAAGATTTATTGTGAAAACACTACACACCCCCCTACACTATTTCACCAAAGAACCAGAGACAACCATTTCCGGCCATTCCTCCCTAGAGATAAACGCAAACTACATGGGACTTTCACTCATATAAGTGTTCACATACCTGAGGCTGTGCCACAGCAGGGGGGCACCCACCAGGCAGAGGAGAAGATACTGCTTATGACGTCGGGGGGGAAGAGAGTAACGTTTCTCTGCACCTGAAGTAAGTTCAGCACCAGGGACAGGAAGACTCCCACAGAGAACAGCATGGCCCCTCGGATGAGCAGGTTGGTGGTCCTACAACGCAGATGCAAAGCAGTCAGGAGACCGGGTACATTCCTCCACTGTTATGTGTTACACTGCAAACTGATAAACATGACATGCCTCAAAAGACATTCAGTGTACTGCGTCCAATGCCCAGCAGACTCATACATGTCATGTTAAATGTCCCATAGCTATGTTACATATAGCAACAACAAAAAAACTAAAATTCTATATTGGATAACAAAAACAAAAATTGTGTGGAGAATAAGCTAACCTGTTAGTAGTGTTGGGAACCGAAACTCTGTTCCAGATGAGAACCGATAAGAAAATGCCGGGTACCGGGTACCCATACAAAATACACAATTTCGGTTCTGCTTAACGGTTCCTAAACGCGGTAGACCCTGTATTCCACCGGGTCCGTCTGCGCCGCGGTGACCCGGTGGAATACAGGGTAAGGGCGGACTGGTCATCTGTGTGTTCTGGAGAATCACAGAACGGCCGGTCGTCAGCGGGCCGTTGACGGCCGGCTCGGTACGTTGACGGCTGGCACCGCCCTTAATTTTTTTTAACTGCATCATGTAAGTTGCGCTGACAGGCGACAGAGGTCCACAGTTGCCCCGCAGCGAGGCTCCCCCCGCCCTCCCGTAGACAGTTCACGAGCTCAGTCACTTCATAACACCAAAGATGGATGGCGGTAAACGCTCTAAAGTGAGGCTCCACTACACTAAAAAAGAAAAAGACAAGGCACAGTGTAATGCCTGTTAATAGCTTGCCACAGGCATAGCTCAGTTAAAATAAAGCACAGCTATTGTCCAATACATTTGTATGTATATTTTTTATTTGTAAAATGTCAGTTAAAGCTTAAAAGAATAAAGATATTTTTGTTATCCAAACGTTTGACCTCTTTCTTTTACAATTTTGGAATCGAAACGGGGAATCGATAAGAACCGGAATCGATACACATCCCTACCTGTTAGTGATGACTGAAATATAGGGGCCCCGCGAAGGCCCCGGCGTCTGCCCGGGTCCCGACCACTCCTGCTGGCCTCCGGTCCCTGCACTGTTGCTCATGGCTGTCAGTGTTAGGGACATTTATAAGCATAGGTCTGGAAAATATACGCTCAATGACGTCTTTATCCGCCAGTGATTTTAAAGTCCTCCTCTGACATCCCAAACCAAGCTGAAAAACAAGGACAGGCAGGGGATTCAAAAGACTTAAAAAGTCCATCCCGAAACACAATTTACATCAGCTATTTTAAATATTCACTTTCTACTTAAGTATGTACTACTTATATATACAAGTATAAACACATTAGAGATAGAACGTCAAAGGATTTCTTCTAACAGATAGGGATAGAAAAATACTTACATTTAGCTAGCTCGCTATCATGGTAAAGAAGTGAACAATACAGTAAGATTTAAAGAATGGTTATACATTTGTTTCTTTGTTTATGGAGGGGGGCCTCATGATTCCTGAGTAACACTCCAAGCTGTGTCCAGCTGATACAGAGGGAGCAGGTTCAGTGTGTCCCTTACCTCATGCACGGTGGGGTTAGATAACTGTACTGCACTCACCTTTAGCCCCAGTCTGTGTCTGGCAATGTAACACACTGTGAACAGTTGTTCGTTTTTAACTAAACAAATGTTATAACTTTAAATGTAGAATAATAACCATCGACGGTGATTCTATAGAAACTAACAGCAACCTGAAGATTTGAGCCAAAACGCTAATCAATAAACGAAGTCAAAAGCATTTACCCGTCTGTCACTAGCAACGCACTATCGGTAAATACCTATCGGTAAATACTTCCAAAAGAGACAACAAAACACCTCAATTACCGTAAAAAGCGTTAACAACAAATAGTTGTGATGGCAGCGGATATGCAAAGTTAGTTAGCTTGACGTTAGTTAGCTACTCTCATTATAGGTAATAGCTAGCTAGCTCAACGAAAATGGTCAATATCAGTTACCCACCTCAGCACGAGCTGTGGGGAAGGTCTTACCTTATGTTGACAGAGACGTTACAATCCGATAAGACATTTCACATGACTTTAAACTAAACTATGCTGCAATACGCAAAATATGAATTAGCCTTATGCTTCTCTCCCTGTGACTACTTCCGGCTGCCCAAAATGATTGAACTCGCCATGACGCATGACGCAACTACGTTACACAAGGCAGACGTATCACATGATTAGAGGTCCATGGATGAACCAATCAAAGACGTTTCAATTCTATTATCTTTGATGAACCTCAAACAGCTGGATAATACTTACTTCATAAATCATTTTATTCAAAATAATAATATTTAAAAAGTCTATTGTAAATGTTACATAATAATGACATATTTAACCTGGAAATGAGTTGATTGTACTTGAAATGATGTAGTTTAGAGTATTAATTTGGAGCGAATCAGGCTACTGTGTGTGTTCTTTATAGCATGTGCTTTTTATGACTTTTTATATTTTTTGTAAAATTGACAAAACCCTCCAAAAGTTGCACACACACACACACACACACACACACACACACACACACACACGCACGCACACGCGCGCACACACACACACACACACACACACACACACACACACACACACACACACTTCTGTTACATGTTTGATTTGCTCTTGTGGTCTAATAGATTTACAGAGATGCAGAGGTGAGAAAGTTGCAGTGTGAAGTGGATCACTCTTCCTCAATCCCATTTACATTCCGTTTTGTATCCACCATAGGTCTGCTGCTCAAGACCAGGTTTCAGGGATTATATCTGGCAACACAATAGTTGGAATTTAAACAAACTTACCGTATTCTTTCATTCCACCATACTTCCAAGTCAACTTTATCATGCGTAACTGGTTTATCATGCAAATCCCAGTAGAAAAAGACTACTGCTGTTATTGCCGGTGATGGTCCAAAGGAAGAGAAGGGTACAATCATTTGATTTTTGAACTGAGGCCTTATATACAAGAGTTATTCTTTTGGACAAAAGTTATTTATTTATTTACACATTCTAGTTTGTAGTTGTAAACAGATCCAGTTGTAATATTGCTGCTGTTTAGGATCAGTCCTGACTCTGATGTTCTATTCCTCTTGACTGATCACAGGTCAGTGCTGCAGTCTGATCACAGGTCAGTGCTGCAGTCTGATCACAGGTCAGTGCTGCAGTCTGATCACAGGTCAGTGCTGCAGTCTGATCACAGGTCAGTGCTGCTGTCTGATCACAGTGACAGGTCTTACTGTATATTCCTCTTACAGGTCTTTGTCATGGTGGTATATTAGCTAAACCCAACAATACATTTGAACAGTGTCTGTCATAAATACACTACTTGATAATAAAGTATGTACTTTGAGCAGTTCATCTGCTGTATGTTTCCAACCTACTTCATCTCAGAGGAACATATTGTACTTCCTACTCCACTCTTGATCTTACAGCTGCACTTAGTTATTACAGATCCAGCTATCAGACATGTACAATAGGCTATACATCTTTTAAAACTCAATATATATTCCTACCATAAATGACATTTTCCATCGAAAATTAGGAAACGAAGGAAGAACAAATGGAAGATCAAAATACGTATTTCTTTGTGTAGATTTTAGAAATTGTTACTGAAACAGGTGGTGCATATGTTAAGGACTATTTTTTCCGTTGAGGATTATTTCATATGTGATGCTTTAGTGTGTATTTCGTGCAGCAGAACTGTATTCATATGTTTGTTGTTGGTCATGAAGGAACATGTCACCCAGTGGTGCTCACTGGTGTGTTATCAAAAGTGTTCAGACAATAGAGCTCAATGGACACCTATCCGTTTTTCACTTAAAGGGCCCATGTCATGGCCATTTCCACTGATCATAATTACATTGTTGAGGTATACTAAAATAGATTTATACTGTGCAATTTTCCAAACTCACATTGGTTTCGCATACAGCATCTCTGTCAAGCATGTGTATTCAGCAGTATTCACTTTCTCCACTAAACGACTCGTTGGAGCTCTTGCCCCCCCCTCCCTGTGAGCCTAGTGTGCTCCGATTGGTCAGCTCGGCCACTCGTTCTGATTAGTCAACCACCAGAGAGGCTGCGCCCATGTCTAACAGTGCTTTTCCCGGCTGCTCTCAGCGTAACATCAGTCTTATCATGGCGTCGGCACAGCCGTATATTTTATATACATATATATTTTTAACTGTTGTTATAGAAGAGTGTGACGGCCCCAGGGCCTTTGTCTTACGATGGGGTGGAGCTGAAGAGGCTAATCAGCACGATCACGGACACCTCCGGACACTACGGCCCCAGTCTCTCTCCAAAGCGGCTGCGGGAAGACTCTGCGATCCTCTCAACCACCTGTCTCTGCATTTACCACAATAAATGTGCCGTGGTTTTGTAAACTCGTGTATGTCTCCTTGTCTTTGTGGCCTACGAGCCGCTCATAACAAAGAGTAAGTTATTTTTACCCGTTATAAACTACTAGTTTGATGAGAAATCAAATCATGGTTTGCTATATATGAATTCAGGGAAGAAAGGATAGGCCTACTAAGTATTTCCATTAAACTTTATTTTTAGAAATGTACAAAATGAACATAAATATACATATATACACGGTATATCATCCATTCCTCCTCCTTGCATCTTGCCTGCGCACAGTCGGTGCGGTGCCTTTTAGCACGACGCCTCAGTAGTAGTAGAAGTGCCTTTTAGCACGTCATGGATTGTCCGCCAGGATCTGGCTGGACGAAATCAAATGCAAATCACAAAATATTAGAGAAACTTAGTTGTTTTAGATTCGTTAGTAGTAGTTGTGTAATGAACAGCTTGCCTGCTAATATGCTAACCTAGCTTTGTTTACCTTGGTAGCTAACACGATATGAACGTTAGCTTGGAGGAAAGGCAACTATAATGCAGTGTAATAAAACTACTATGAACAAAAGCTAGTGGTTCATATTAGGCTAGCAATAACGTGTTTATAATTGCAATCGTATACGGGTATTCTGCTACCATACAATGTAACTTGCATGAATACATTGTTTTGCGCTAGCATACAGCTAGCCTCGTTAGCTACATGCAGTATATGTACGGTCACAATGTACGGTAAATCACAGTACAGTATACTGTATGAGTATTCCGTGTGTGTGAATGCAGACATTCTCCTGCTATGAGATACATGTATGCAAGGCCATCTGCTGATATTACAGTTGATATATGGAAACTCTAGCAACTTAGTTAGCACAGTTAGCACTGTGTCAATGGCTTAGCAGTCCAACACAGTTTACACATTTAAACAGTCTTGTTTGGTAAATACACAAATAACAATGCAAACTTACAGGTTGTATACCCAGATCTTCCCCTGCTCCAAACGGTCCAAACAAGCTGTGCATATCCGGCCTCAAACTGGGCAATGTTTTGGAAGCTTTCGTCTGTGAAATGCCGGTTCTTCGAACCTCTGGAGGAGGAACACGCCGCTGCTGGTGTGGCCATAGCTCTTCGGGATTGGTCCATTTCGTTCCGGGTACCGCATGACATCAGGCGGGTACCCGGAACTAAATGGAAGACTCAAATGGGCAGTGACGTATCTCCAACGAGGCGTTTTGGGGAGGTATTTTCTGTGTTAGAGTTTTACTCGCTACAGGGTGTACTTTGAGGGTTTTGACTCTGCACACCGTTTACATGCATAAAAACCTTCATAACACACAAGGGGACGGGTAATAACCGGAAAAGCATGACATGGGAGCTTTAAGACCTATAAGAAACGTATAAAGCTTATAATTAGGGCTGCCTAGAATCAGCCCCTAGTTTTGCTGCCATAGGCTTAGACTGTTGGGGGACACCTTCATTCTTCCTTCTCTCTCTCTGTACCTGTGTACTCATGTTCCAAATAACACAGCTTCCCTAAACTCTTTTCTGTCTGTCTACGCCAGGATCTTGAGTCCTGGATCTTGAGTCATGGATCTTGAGTTGTGGATCCCGAGTTGTGGATCTAGGCTCCTAGCCCTATGGGTTAAATGCAGAGGCCAAATGTCACTGTGTGTGCTGTGTGCATGTATGTGTGACCAATAAAGAGGGTTTCATCCTCCAATTCTAATGCTGTTTTCCTGAGTCCTGGATCCTGAGTCGTGGATCCTGAGTCGTGGATCCTGGATCCTGAGTCCTGGATCCTGAGTCGTGGATCCTGGATCCTGAGTCCTGGATCCTGAGTCCTGGATCCTGAGTCGTGGATCCTGGATCCTGAGTCCTGGATCCTGAGTCCTGGATCCTGAGTCCTGGATCCTGGATCCTGAGTCCTGGATCCTGAGTCCTGGATCCTGAGTCCTGGATCCTGAGTCCTGGATCCTGAGCCCTGGATCCTGAGTCCTGGATCCTGAGTCCTGGATCCTGAGTCCTGGATCCTGAGTCCTGGATCCTGGATCCTGAGCCCTGGATCCTGAGCCCTGGATCCTGAGCCCTGGATCCTGAGCCCTGGATCCTGAGTCCTGGATCCTGAGTCCTGGATCCTGAGTCCTGGATCCTGAGCCCTGGATCCTGAGCCCTGGATCCTGAGTCCTGGATCCTGGATCCTGAGCCCTGGATCCTGGATCCTGAGTCCTGGATCCTGAGTCGTGGCTGAACCTGTCACTGTGGTCCTGCCTGACTCTCATCATACTACTTCCCTGATGGCTCCCACAGGATTGTTGACATCCTCCTGGATTCATCTTCTTCTTATTGACACATGCATTTCCAAACATTTGTAAACACGCTGTAAAATGTATTATCTCTTCGATTTACACACGGAATCTATTGCACGTCTGTCCGTCCTGGGAGACGGACAGACTCTGTTGCTCTCCCTGAGGTTTCTTCCATTTCGTTTTTTGGAAGTTGTTCTTGTCCGATGTGAGGGTCCAAGGACAGAGTATTCGTATTCATATTCTGTACAAACTGAGACAAAAGTAACATTTGTGATATTGGGCTATATAAATAAGCTTTGATTGATTGAGTAGGAAGATATACCAGGCTTTGATAAACACAATATTGTTTGTGAATACAATCATTGTATGCTTTAATAAACATTTTTCACTGCCTTAACTTATGTCATTTCTTAAAAAGCCATTTTAGTTTGGAATAAAAACTGACTGCAGACCTTCAATGCCTTTTATACGATGTGAACATGACTACTACTTACTATTATCAGACTCCACAGTGAATCATTGATGCCTTTACAATGAATGAATTATCCAATGAGATGAATTGGCAGGTTCCATACACTGTACTACTCATAGTCCCATGGGAGACTCACTTAACCCCAATAATGAGAGTGATAAAGGACGTCTGGTAGGCAAGAGGAGGGTACGGGGCTTTCGATTAGTTGTCAAGGGCTACTGGAGGCCCCCTGACGCAACCAGAGATCAGCCAGGGATTCAATTCATCATCCTGCCTGTGCCGAGCGCTAAGGGCCTTTTCATTATCATGCTACGGAGTCCCACTGTCGGCTCCTTCAGTTTAAATGTGAGTGATGGTGACGGAGGGGTGGGGCCGGGCCCTCGTCATAAATGTCCTCCCCAATGGACCGTTGCAGGTCCCAGCTCCAAAAGAATAGGCCCTGTGACCTCTCTGTCGTCTATAATTAACCCCTAACCCTCCGCCTCCGCCAATCCCCAGAAAGCCATGATGTGGGAGATGCTGTTTGCCAAGCCTCTCTTACCTCGGCCCCCGAGTCCCTCACTGCGGGCAGAAGAATACACTGTAGAAAGGGTAGGGGGGCAACAAAGGAAAATGGCTGCTGCTCTTGTATTCAGTGATGTGTTACATGTTAGGGATGACCTGAGTAATCTGCATTATAAGGCTGACATGAGTGAAATATTTTTAAATTCACCTACTTATGCACATTTATCCATCAAAAGATCTGAGACAGATTAGACTCAGGGCAATAATGACATACAGACATGTGGAATCATTCGCTTGTATGACAAATGGGTGTGTGTGTGTGTGTGTGTGTGTGTGTGTGTGTGTGTGTGTGTGTGTGTGTGTGTGTGTGTGTGTGTGTGTGTGTGTGTGTGTTAGCCGGTACTGACATTTACCACAACATCCAACAAGCAAATTGTTGTTACCAAAGGTGTCGGCTAAAACCCAAATCACAATAGCAAGTCAATTGTTCCCTAAAGGCCGGAGCTGACACATGTACATGATGACATTTGAGCACGCACACGGGGACAATTTCAAAAGAAGAATCACACAAGGACGAAATGAGACGTAGAATGAGGAAGCTTTTCTCTGCCTTCTGCAGCAGTCTTGGAAGAAAAGCATCTCTCATCTACAGACAGTGGAAACAGAGAGGAGCATGATTGTCTGCAATTTCTTGGAACCATGAGGAGGAAATGCAAATGCCCTGTAGCTGGAAGAAGCATGGAAGCTTTGCCAGCATGTGTGTGGCATATTGAATGGTAATGACAAAGCAGGCTCTATCCCCTGTGAGCAAGCCTGCGGAACAATGATTACAGATTGGTTGATGTGTCCTTAGCATCACAAGGGACTCTGATTATAATGCTAATCAGAGCTGCTGCCCATTGAAATGTATCTGTACTCGCAAGGCAGGGGGAAATAAGATGGAATATCCCTGTTAGACTGTCCATTTATCATGAGGCGCTGCTTGTTTTGATATTTTAGCCCTCAGGAATTTAGAGAGGGGCTTTTGGCAGGCTTAGCCTATTGCACCACCTGCTGGCCTTAGGCTGGTACCAGTATTACCTGCATGTTTTTGTTCCAGGGCATTTATTGTGCATAAAATGTTGACGTATAGGCTGACTGTATTCTGCGTTATTTAATTTGTTATTATAGTTGGAGAGCCTGTGAAACCGCCTCACCTTGCTCCGTTAGAATGTACGAATGGAACTCAGTGGGATTCATCTCTGTTTCAGGTTTGAAGTCCCTCCGCTCAGCCTGCACCAGGCACACAGTCCCCCCCCTTCCTCACTGAATGTACTTTATTTTCATTCCGGGGAGAGAAACAAGAAGGAGAGACGAGACACAGTGATGCTCAGCTGCACACTCAATGTAGGTTAATGGAAGGGAGGAGAGTCTGAGCTCAGGCCGGCTCTGATTGGCTGGCCCGGTGGACGTGCAGCTTCTCCGCAGCACAACCTGTCACTGTTGATCAGGGGCCATCTCTTAACAGCCAGCAGGGCTATCAGAGAGGTGAGTCCATTGCTATTCAGGACGAAACAGATGATAAATCATTTGTACATAATTAGTGCTCAGCAAGGTTACAACTGACACGTGTTTTCATCTTAATTAGGAGGGGGATTTGTTCCATTCATTTAATTTGGTGTGCATGAGCGCCTCTGCACCTAACTAAGTTAATCTTACACCTGTCAGGGTACGCATGGAGTCGGGCCTTGGATTACAGGGGGATGTGGGTAATAGTCCTCTATCAGATTGTATCACAAACAGACTTGCAAGTCAAGTGGACTTTAGTGACAAATAAGACTGCCAAATCTACTGTTATGTGCATTTAACGGCACTTTATAATACTTCAATCAGTTAGGAATTACTGCATGCTTTTAAATAGTTAGGTAACCTATGCTTCTGTCTTATCTCATATAGCTTTGCAGCCAACCAATAAGGCATATACATGTTCCTTCATCCTAGAACAAATATTTAAGCAGATCTTACAAATGGGCTTCATGGGGAAAAACGTGTTCCATCATGGAGGCTGCAGGCCCACACCCCCAGCTCTCTGATTTACAACCACAGCAGCCTTCACATATTTGAGCGAGAATCACTGTCTGTTCTCGATGCAGTCCAGTGGGCAGCAGCCAGTCCAAGGACTAGGTCTCTTTTCTTTGTTGAAAGCTGTATGAAGCTGTAGTAATTGCCCCAAAGAGGAGGTTCGATAGAGAATGACTGATTTAGTAACTATAGGCTTCTAATGGAATTCTCCAATGCCTCTCGGGCACTCAAGCTGACAACCATTACCTGAACTGATGCATAGTCCATTACGGGATTCCCCTGCTTTAATAGAGTGTCTATCACATGAAATACAGAGATGTCAGGTGCCAAAGCATGCACTCTCACCCATGTGTGAAGGTTTAACCCAACTGTAAATGCTTTTCTTCTACACACTGCTGCCTTACACATGCATTGAATATCTACATATAAAGCACATTGTAAGATGTTGCTGTTCCACTCCTAACGGCTGGCCCCAGTTTACAACCTTCAGAATGGTTTCATGAAACATGTGATCCAGCATCCTGTGAAATAACCACGCCCCGACTTTAAAACTCCTCTACTTAAATTGACGGAAGGAATAAACACCATGTGAAGTTACAAGCTTAAAAGCACTAAACAGCGATGTGAATCCAACCCTTAGGGCAACACAATAGCTAATGATGCCAGGACTTTGTTTTTCATTAAACATAGATTTTGTTTTGAGTTATTAGTTAATCATTAAAAAAATAATCAATGAATTGACTTGTTTGGTGAAATGTATGTCAGAAATGAGATAATGCCGTTTACCTCCAACATGAGGTCGTTTAGTCCACTGCCAGGAACCAGGACATATGTTACTATGACAACATCAAGACAAGTCAAACCAATGTACTAACCTTGTACACAATGTCTTGAAAAAGTCAAATTGTTTGTGAAACTATTTTCTTTTGATGGACAGAAGAAGTTGACTTCAATGGAATTGATGAATTGAAAGCACACATATGAATATAGCTGGGTATTAGGTTTGTAAAGTGATTTGTGTTCGTGCCAGTTGGTACCAGGGAAGCAGATGCTTTTCTGATACCTTACTTTGGGGACATGAAACATGGCTGTCTATAAACTCTTTTGTCTCAGCAAACAGAATGAGTCAGGACTGATGCCTTTAGTGTCACCTAAAGAGGTGAGGGTCCGAAGGAAGAGAAGGGTCAAATCATTTGATCTTTGAACTGAGGCCTTATATTTATACAAAAGTTGTTATTTGGGACAAAAAAGACACAAGTAAAAATACACAGCCATATTGAAATGAGTTCACATCAGATTATAGAATGAGTCTATAACAAACCATGAACACATTCTAGTTTGTAGTTATAAACAGATCCAGTTGTAATATTGCTGCTGTTTAGGATCAGTCCTGACTCTGATGTTCTATTCCTCTTGACTGATCACAGGTCAGTGCTGCAGTCTGATCACAGGTCAGTGCTGCAGTCTGATCACAGGTCAGTGCTGCAGTCTGATCACAGGTCAGTGCTGCAGTCTGATCACAGGTCAGTGCTGCAGTCTGATCACAGGTCAGTGCTGCAGTCTGATCACAGGTCAGTGCTGCAGTCTGATCACAGGTCAGTGCTGCAGTCTGATCACAGGTCAGTGCTGCAGTCTGATCACAGGTCAGTGCTGCTGTCTGATCACAGTGACAGGTCTTACTGTATATTCCTCTTACAGGTCTTTGTCATGGTGGTATATTAGCTAAACCCAACAATACATTTGAACAGTGTCTGTCATAAATACACTACTTGATAATAAAGTATGTACTTTGAGCAGTTCATCTGCTGTATGTTTCCAACCTACTTCATCTCAGAGGAACATATTGTACTTCCTACTCCACTCTTGATCTTACAGCTGCACTTAGTTATTACAGATCCAGCTATCAGACATGTACAATAGGCTATACATCTTTTAAAACTCAATATATATTCCTACCATAAATTGAACTACAAATGGCATAAAGTAGGTGAAATGTGTTCAGTGATCAGTACACAAAGAAATATCAGTAATAATAATTAAAAAAGATCATACATAGACCTATATTAATATAGCATTTTAAAGCAGTCATTATGGATTATGGCTGTTAATACCATTATTGTATTTATACATCATCAGCTGGGAACTACCACAATTCATTCTTTTAAAAACGAGAACTTATGCTAAAAGAAAGTACAGGAAGCAGATAGAGTTTGAGTCCATTTACCACTTTCAGACAACACGATACAGTGAGATGTACGCAGCATCAGGCAGGAGGAAGGTGCTATACTAAATCATCAGCTGTTCATACTTCAGCTCACAGCTCATCTAAGCCCAACGACACAATGTGTTTTACATATTTACCCTTCTCAGTTGACTTTCAGTATTGATTTGACATATCTAAATCTCAGATGTACAACATGAAAAGCTTCAGAAGAAAGGGAATCTGAGTAGTGGAGCTGTCATGGCAACCTGCTGTGGCTACTTTGCTTTTCATTGACTTTTACCCAGTGAGCATTGTGACATTAACTGTTGCTAACGTTTTCTCTTCCATGAGTCCACATGACTTGTGCTCCCAGTAGACACCTGCTTCTTGTCCTTCATCAGCTCCTCACGGGACATGGGCTCGATGATGGCGCCCAGCTGGGTGACCACCTTGGGCTTGCTGATCTTTCTGACAGTCTGCTCTGTGTTCCAGGTGCGACCCAGCGGAGTGCGGATGGTGCTCTCAAACTGCGCGTGGTTCTGGAAGGGAAAGGGCAGCGAGTTCACCTGATGGAGGCTGATGGAGCCGTTTCTCTTCTCTGACACGATGATGCTGGGGAGACATTGGTCTCTCCTTGGAGGTGGGGGGGCCGTCTTAATCCTGAACCTCCTCCGTTTGTTGCGGGAAGGCTTTAGGTTTGTCCCTCCCCACTCGCCCCAACCAGGAAGAGTCAGGTCCACGACCTGCGGCTTCGCTGCATCCTCCTGCTTCCTCTTGTCCTTAAGGAAGTCTGAGACCACGTCATCCCCGGCAAAGGCCTCTTTAATGAGCCCCCTTTGGTCAAGCTTGTCCTCCATGTCCTCCATGTCCTCCATGTCCTCCGTGTCCTCCGTGTCCTCGATGGTTGGGGCGAGAGGAACTTTGATGACTTTTGTTTCTTTGGTGAGAACTTCTTTCAGTTCGATGCCCCGCTTTCTTTTTCTGGTTTTGTCAGCCTGTGGAGTCACAGAGGGGGGCTTGTCTGTAGCAGGGGGCTCAGCAGGGGCTTCATCAGGGGCTGGCTCCTGCTGACTGAGGAGCTCCATGTCCTCCAGAGTCCTGATCCTCAGCAGCCCCTCCTCCAGCTGAGCTGAAGGGTTCGTGTGGCAGGAGTCTGCAGCTCCCTCGGGCATCTCAGCTTCACCACTGCTGTCTGCTATTCCCCCTCCTATAGCTGACAGCTCCTCTTCCTCCTGCTCAGGTACCTGTGGCTCCTCCTCTTCCTCAGGTACCTGTGGCTCCTCCTCTTCCTCCTGCTCAGGTACCTGTGGCCCCTCCTCTTCCTCCTGCTCAGGTACCTGTGGCCCCTCCTCTTCCTCCTGCTCAGGTACCTGTGGCTCCTCCTCTTCCTCCTGCTCAGGTGCCTGTGGCCCCTCCTCTTCCTCCTGCTCAGGTACCTGTGGCCCCTCCTCTTCCTCCTGATCAGGTACCTGTGGCTCCTCCTCTTCCATCTCCTCGTGAGCCTGACGCCGTTTCCTCCTGCTGTCAAACTCCCTGAGGAGGGTTTCCTCTTCCGTTTCCACAACCTCTTCCTCATCCTCCTCTTCTTCGGCTGGATTTCCCACAGCTCCAGGCCCCTCGGTTATTAGATCCATATTTTCACTTAACTCTTTCTCAGCAGGATCCTCAGACAGCTTCCCTCTCATCCAGGGATTGGAAGAATCTAGTCTTTGCTCGGCATCATTTACAAAATCAGGCAGCACCTCTTCATCCACTGCTTCCTCCTCCTCCTCTTCCTCTTTATTCAGCGAAGTGACCAGCTTCTGGGTCAGCTCTTTGTTCACCTCCAGCTGCTGCTGCATGGCTTTGCGAGCCCCCTCATCATATTTTGCCATGATCACCTTTGACTTGGCCCACTTGCCACTGTTCTGGTGCTTCAGAGACATCCTCTCCTGCATCCTGGCCAGCTCGATCTTACTCAGCTCCTCTAAGGCGGCGGCGGGGTCCGTCTTCACCATCTCCTCAAACTTCTTCAGGAACTCTTTACGCTTTGCCTTGTTCTGCACTTTGTGGTATTTTTTGCTCTTGATTTTTCTCTCTCTCCGGGTCTTTGCCTCGTAGTAGGACTGCAGAGCCCGGGCTTTCTGCAGCTCTGCACGTCGTATCTTGGCCTCCTCCAGGCTCATCGCCCTCATTGAAGCCTCCTCTGCAGGGGTCAGGATGGGGTCATTGATGGGCTGCTTGTTTGCTGAAAGGAGGGCAAATATCTCCTGCTCGAGCGGGGTTTGTGCCTTCCACCCGGTCACCATCCTCTCCATTGGCCTAGGACCTGTGGGCTCCTTGTCCAGGGGGAAGACCAGCTGCTCGGCCCTCTGGTTCTGTTTGATGATGTCTTTCCACCGGGTCACCTCTGTGGAAGCCTTCCGGAAAGCCACATCTCTTTGAATCCTCTCACTCTCCTGCTTGCTGAGGGGGCACTCAATGGTCTTGTTAGTATGCTGCAGGTTCTTCAGCTGCTTCTTGGTCTTGGCAGGGACAGCGGAGGTTTTCTCCATTGACCCGATGAGGTCCGAGAGATCGATCTTATCGCCCTCTCCCTCGGCGTTGACGGTAAACTCCGACATGAGGACGGCTGCCTCGGATCTCTCCCCCAGCTTCTTCTGCCTCTTACCTCCCAGAGCGCTGATGGCTTCGAGCAGCTTTTGGCGTTTTCGTTCATCCTTGCCGCCGTCCTCCTCCTCCTCCTCCTCCTCACTGCTGATATTTCCGTCTTCTTTACTGAGAAACTCATCGTCGCCATCGTCGTACACCACATCTGGCTTCACCTCTGCGATCTTCTCCGTCACCGTGGAGCTCTTCCTGACGCTCTTCCTACTCACTTTCTTCTTAGAAACTTTAGCCATGTTGGAGTCACCACCGCTGGAGTGGAGTGGAGTGGAGTGGTCTGTACACACGTGTGCCGTAAACCGAGCCGTTGTCGTAATTAGTGGCCGCAATGTGAGCAGTACTGTCGCAAAATATCTGGCAGTGTTTTTTTCTCTTTTCTCTCTCTCGCTCTCTCTGTCACCTAAATGCACATTTAAAGAAACTTTATTTGCGTTGCACATCAAAGCTCATGTTTGTTAAAACACATCTGTAGAATATTATGTGGGAAGGAAGGAAAGAAACTGAACGAGATGGAAATCATCACCAATATTCATATGTAATGATAATACAAACTAATATTAATGATAATACTGCATACTAACTGCACATAACATTATTATTATTATTATTATTTTATTATTATTATTATTATGATGATTATTATTATTATTATTATTATTATTATTGTTATTATAACAGTATACTGTTTCTTTCTCCTAAAGGTCTATCAGTTTAAAGAGACAATGCACGTATGCTATTCAATTCAGATTTAAAGAAGCTTTATTTGCATTACCACATCAAAGCACAGTTTTGTTAAACCTCATTAAACATTCAAAACATTTGTACAATATTATGTGATGTAAAATCAAGGAAATAAATAAGCTGTACATGATGGAAATCATGAAAAATTAAATCATAATAAAATCAGAATGAATGTAACTGGCAACTGCACATAACATAATTATGATTAATATAATGATATGATTATTAGGATTATGATTAATGTTATTATGATTATGATTGTTATTATTATTGTATGATGATTACAATTATTATTATTATTATGATTATGAATATTATGATTATTATTATTGTTATTTATTATTATTATGATTATTTGAATATGATATAACAGTTGATGTCTCGATCTGCTGGTGTATCAGTGTAAGCAGATATCCTCTGAGTGTAAGTGGACCACGTTGGCAAGGAGCATCTGAGGGTTGGTTGTTGCAAAATTAAAGAGAGAGAGAGAGAGAGAGAGAGAGAAGAGAGAAAGAGAGAGAGAGAGAGATGAGAGAGAGAGAGAGAGACGAGAGAGAGGAGAGAGAGAGAGAGAGGAGAGAGAGAGAGGAGAGAGAGAGAGAGAGAGAGAGAGAGAGACTGAGAGAGTTACGTGGGTTGTTGTTAGCATTTGGTGCTAGCTCGGAGCTAACGGAGATTAGAAGCTGCTCTAAATTATCTCAGTGGGTCTCAAACGGTTTGGTCATCTATGTAAACAAATATCTCCATCTATTTAATATTAGTTGTATATAAAATAAGTTAAGAAATCCTTCCAATGTGTAGCCTACTATAGGTCAGTAACAAAATCAAAAACACAGTTTGAAAGGGGAGTGATTAGTCAAATATGCATAAATAAAAAGAAAGAATGCAGACTAGGTAAGATACAGATAGGAGAGAGGAGGTGATCAAATATGTGTTATTGCTTGTGAGCATATTCTAATGGTTTTTTGATGATTGAAATATATACAGTTCTGTTTCATATGAGTGTTGAGAGCTGTATCCATACATCTCTTAATGTTGCCCTCAAAGTGCATCAGATTGATGCCTTCAACTTCAATTTAAAGAAAAACAAATCTTCCCGGGGGTGCATGCCCCCGGCCCCTCAACAGGAGGTGAGGTCATCACAAATAAAACAGATTCACATGGATAGGATACTAGATAAGTGTGCACACTCATTATATACAATACACATTCTTGGATTTGTTAACACTATAGTCCCTAATATATTTGTAGAAAGGCAGGAAATGGAATTAAATTGAGAAAATGTTTCATTGCGGAGGACCCCCTGTTTTGTGTCCCCCCCCACTTCTCAAACCAAAGTTACACCCTTGTATATATATATATATATATATATATATATATATATATATATATATATGTAACTGTTTCATTGTAATCTTGGTGCTCCCTCTGCTGGCTGAAAATGCGCGTGCACGTTGTGGTGTCTGTGCCGTTCTTTTCACACATTCATGGTCTGCGCTCCTCGTGACAGTGTCGCGTGTTTGAAACACAGCCTGCCTGCGGCTTCAAATATATAACTAGTTAGTGTTCGTTGTTATTTCTTGTGTTTAGTTGCATTCAACAATCAACATTTGACTGTCACATGTTCCGGTCATGTGACCTGTGTCAACACGGCGGTTCATCATGGCGGCGGCTTCGTCGGTTTTCCACAGAGTCAGAACTGGCTCTAAAATAGGTGCCCAATATGACCAAGAAGGAAACCTGATTCAGGTGAGCAGCGTTTACATCAATCTTTAACACTGACGGTGCTTTCACTGCAACCCTTACTCCAACCTAATAGCGGGAAAACTCGGAGGCTTGTGAGCTAACTTGAGTTAGCTTTAACAGCTGGATGGAGTTTGAATGCTCGTTTATAGTTTAACGGTGTCAATAGGAAACCTTTGCTTTATTTCATAATTAAGAGAGCCAAGTAAAGGAATGGCCACTTTAAGTTGGCAGACATTTGGCTCTTTCCATGGACGTTAACGTTGACCGTTATCTGAGTGGAAGAACAGACCCTCTGCAGCTGTGTGGGATTCAGTGTTGCTCCAGAGCACTCCAGCAGCCCACATGGAGTTTGTTTCTTACAGAGGTAAATGATGTGTGTGTGGCCCCAGGTGGAAACCCGAGAGGATGAGGAGCAGAGCGTCAAGCTGGCGGAGATCCTGGAGCTCCTGCTGGCAGCTGGATACTTCCGGGCACGGATTAAAGGCTTGTCCCCTTTCGATAAGGTACCAGGACCTGCTCTCTCCCTGTCATGTGATGGCGACATTAACACTCACTTTTGCTTTTCCAGTTGATAAAAACGCCACTGGGACAAGCCGTTGTGTCCTTTGGCAAGACTACACAGTATTCACTGTCTGATATGTGTCATTTGTAATGTAAAGCGCTTTGAGTATTCGGAAAAGGGCTTTATTATTATTATTATTATTATTATTATTATTATTATTATTATTATTATTATTATTATTATAAATTGTGAACTGAAGTATCTATTAATCTTTGAGTTTACTCAGTAGACAGGACTGCCATTGATTGATTCCAACAGTAAAGCTCCCACTCACCCTGTGTCCTCCTGTCCCCTCCTCAGGTGGTAGGTGGTATGACCTGGTGCATCACCACTTGTAACTTTGACATTGATGTGGATCTTCTTTTCCAAGAAAACTCAACAATTGGCCAGAAAATGTAAGTGGGGTTTGAGCCGGTGAATTGTTCCCGGAAGCCCCTATACACTGTGTGAATAAACGGTCCTAGATGAACGTTGACTGTTTGGAGAGAAGTGGTCGGCTGTCCAACTGAAACAATGTGGCCTGGTCCAACATTTAAAGCTAAAGCCACCAAAGAAGGGCTTGTATCAAAGATTATGACAGAAATGTAGAACTCCATTCTTACAATCCGACTATGCATACAACCAACGGCCACTCGCCATTAAACCAATTTCACGCTGAATATTCTGGGCTCCTTGCAATTTAAACAACATCTTAATAAAAATAGAATAGAGTTAAATAGTTCACTTAAGAGCTGCACAGATAAATGACATACATTGATGATGTACTTCTGCTTGCATTTGTTTTCCATTTCAATGATAGTGCACATTCACCAGACATTCATCACACAAGCTGACACGATTGAAATGTGATATTGTACAGTCTAACAGAGACAGTGACCAACATATAACATGTCCCAGTGTGACATGAAGGGAGCCTGCAGAGTCACAGTGATCGCAGTGTGTACAGATCTGTTGCCAACCTGGTCATCATTATTACATGTTAGCATATAGCATATAGCATGTAGCAAGAAATAATGTCATTTGTAAGCTTTTAAAAGAATGTCCTATGATTATTAACAATGAACACACACTCAGATCAGAATCAGGCAATGCAAAGAAAAGAGCGACTGATGGAGTGATAAGTGCTTCTTCCTCTTGGCAGATCCCTGACGGAGAAAATTGTGTCGGTGCTACCAAAGATGAAGTGTCCTCATTGCCTGGAGCCACATCAAATCCAAGGACTGGATTTTATCCACATCTTTCCAGTAATACAGGTGAGAGAATCCATCCTAAACTGAGATACCAAATCTTCATATGGTAATGTTAAGCATTACATTGGCATTTGTTAAGAGCATTTAAAATCGTAACAATGATAGCATTTGTCTTCAAACTGTTTATTCCTCCATTAGACATAGGTGTCCTATCAGTCTTTCTGCCCAATTTAAACTCATTTATATCTGCTGTCAAGGTATGGCTTATGATTTGGATATCCTAACTTATTTCAGGACTTCAGTATCAGCTCAGAAATATGTTGCATTCACATGCTGTAATGTCAGAGAATCAATGGTTCAGTGTTGGTGGAGATCTGAAGTGTACAGTGTATGACCAGTTGTGTGTTGTGTCTCCTGCCAGTGGTTGGTGAAGCGAGCCATTGAGACGCGGGAAGAGATGGGCGACTCTGTGAGAGCGTACTCCATCTGTCAGTTCCAGAAGAGCCACAGCCTGCCAGAGGTAGCATCAGTCACTGAGCCAGACTTACTGTAGAGCTTGGTGGAGTGGAATCCAGATGTGGGACAGAAGAGAGAATGGAAAACATCACCACTGTGATCAGTTATCAAAATACTGGAACATTGCTAAATAATGCTAAATGTCACTGTCAGAAATCCGATTTGGCACAGAGTATTAACCCTGACTTTGAATTGAACAGAATTGTGCAGGTGTGAGTAGTAATGTCCCCCCTTGGTAGGACATGTAAACCATAATGTTGTTTTGCTGTATTACATACACTGTCCTCCTAATCATAGTTTTTAATCCTAATATGTGTAACTCTGTGTTCCAGGATGAGGAGTTCCTTCAGAGGAAAGACAAGGCTGTGAGTGCAGTTCTGAAAGTATTGGTAAGTGGCTTCACCAGCAGGCATAGCATACATTAAATTGGTTCTGTAACTACTTCAACTGCAAAGACAAAAAGCACATGTGGTTAATCAGAATAATAAAGTTATTCTGTATGCTTAAAAACAATAGGAACAGGCGTATTCTGAAACGTTTTCCTACTGATCTGTTTGGGTTATATCAAATCTAAAATGTCCTTAATAAATCCTGGTGTTTACAGGAAGTGTACAAACCTCAGAGGAAGTACAGGCGGCAGAGGGATGCAGGGGAGCTGCAGGAGGAGGAGTCCAGAGTCCACTCCACTCTGCTGGAATACGGAAGGTAAGATGTGTGTACTCTGTCAACTACTCTGTTGTTTGTTTTTGCCCCAGTGGCTTTAAGGCAGTGCGGTGACCAATTCTAATTAGGGATGCACCAATGTCACATTTCTCAGCCCATTTTGATACCGGTGTTTTTTTTGTGTTATTTTTCAACCTTTTGTGCCAGGGAAACAAATACATCTTATTTATCAAATATATGCTGCCATTCTGCCCTTCATCACACTTGAGCACAAATCCCTAAAGATAACTTTTACAAAAGCTACTCAATGAGAAGATATTCAGTAGCACCAGTCAGTGGTTGTGATCGCCATACTCCGCCCATGAAAATATCTCCTGTTGAAAATCCTTTCCTGGGCTTATTCCAAATCCTCTTCACACCATCTATCACGAGGTTGGATTTCATTTCTCCATCCTGTGTTTGGGTCTGATGTTTATGACTTTGGTGATGCTCTGATGTCTTGGAGCTGGTCTCCTCTTTGTGGTTTCTTTCCGGCTCCTCACTCTCTGTGTGCATTTCACATGGCACTGCCCATGTTTTTTCTTTAAAAACATGATGAGTTTGATGTTTGATGAACATCTTTTCTTGTTGTTCTACTGCAAGCTGAGAGGTTATTACAACAGGGCAGCCAGAGCTGAATCCATTGTCCTCTCCAGGAACACTTGTCTCCGACTGTCCAGGTGAAACATGTGCTTTATTGAAGGGTGTGTGTGTGTATTTTCAATATGAAGAGCTGACAGTTGCTTCTGTTGAAACGCACTGCATTTCAAATGACTCTTATAGTATTTGCTTATAATAATAATAATAATAATAATAATTTCAATTTTTATAGCGCCTTTCAAGAGACCCAAGGACGCTTTACAATGGGAAACAAAACAACAAAATAATAATAGTCACACATTAACACAGGTTAAAAAAAATAACAGGTTGCTGGGTACTGCATTTTAGCTGAGGCCAAAGGCCCGAGTGAACAGATGGTGTTTGAGTTGTTTTTTGAAAGTGTCCAGAGAGTCGGCATTCCTGATAGCAGAGGGGAGAGCATTCCAGAGGGTGGGGGCTGCAACACTGAAGGCTCTGTTGCCAAAGGTTTTCAGTTTGGAGCGCTGGATGGAGAGCAGCCCGTTGTCGGAGGACCGCAGCTGACGAGAGGGGGTGTAGGGCTGAAGGAGGTCAGAGATGTATGCAGGGGCTAGGGAGTGGAGAGATGTGTAGGTTAGCAGGAGGAGTTTGTACTGGATGCGTGACTTGACCGGGAGCCAGTGAAGGTGGATGAGGGTGGGGGTAATGTGTGGGTGAGGAGCCTGGCTGCAGAGTTCTGGACGTACTGGAGCCTGTCCAGGGCTTTGCTGGTGACCCCGAACAGAACTCCATTGCAGTAGTCCAGGCGAAAGGAGATGAAGGTATGAATGAATGTTTCTGCAACGGGGTCGGGGAGAGAGGGCCGGAGTCTGGAGATGTTTCGAAGGTGAAAGAAAGCAGTTTTGACAGTAGACCTGATGTGGGAGTTGAAGGTGAGGCTTGAGTCCAGAGTGACGCCCAGGCGGCTTGAGTCCAGAGTGACGCCCGGCCTGCGAACCTCAGGTTATGTGACAACAGGGCAAACAAAACAAGCTCCATCTTCCTGTATGGAATTAGTTTTCTCATGATGTATTTTCATGTTGGAGCTTGAGCATGTATCCTGTGAGTCAGGGTTTCCCAACCTGGGGGGCGCGCCCCCATTGGGGGGGCGCCAAAGATAGCAGGGGGGGTGCCAGGCCTCAGATGATTTAAGGCCAAATATCATATTTAGACTTTTTAAAAAAAAAAAAAAAAATTTAAATTTTTTTTTTTTACATATAATTGTAATGCAATACATGATTGTCACTAAAAGCCTTGTCTCTACATTACAATAAAATATAAAAAATAATTGATTAATTAATTTGAATAAAAATTCAAGTTAGTAGCTATTATAGGCATAAAAAGATAGAAATGTATAATTCTTTCTTTAATAGAAATGTTTCTTCTGCCCGTAAAGTGTCCAAACCGGGCTTTTCTGGATAAGCGCATTTTTAAAACATAGTCATTGTCCATGCCGGTTTCAAATTATTTGTCACAGTTGCTCCGATCAGATCGGTCTCTTCAAACAGCGGGAATCCAAATGAATTAATCCTGAGTCCAATAACCATCAAAGTCACTCCAATAGTGCTCCTTGATTACGCTTTCATCCTCCTTTAACAACATACTTCACATTCATCCAGTTTGTGACAGTAGTTGTAGCATTTTTGAGACTTTTAAACTTTAATTACCGCTGTTGCGCCCCCCCCCCCCCCCCCTTGTGACTTCCAACAGGAGTCATTTGGGGGGGCTCTTGGGAAAAAAGGTTGGGAACCACTGCTGTGAGTGATGGTTGTGTTGGAGAGAAAAACAGTTGTAGTTTGGGGCAGAGGGAGACTTCATCAGATTTTTCAGATTTCTGTTTGTTTCCATTTTCCACAGATCGTTTGGATCCACGCCTTGAGTGGATTTCAGTATTTCAAGTTTGGCATTGATTGCAATCAGATTTAGTTCAAAAGCCAGTTTTTCCTTTTCTTTTCTAGGCTCCTCCTCTTGGGCCTCCAATGCATGCTTCCTCTTCAATGCAGCCATGCGTTCTTTAAGGACTGCTAAATCATCTTTGGTTTAGATTTTTGCAGATGAGCTGTATGGTAATCTGTATACTTTTTGTGGTCTGGAATTATTGTCCTTTAAACATAAAATGTTTGATGCAATGTCCTTAGGATTTACATCATCAGAAGTACCACTTCTGTCCTTTGATGCGACCTCTTGCATCATCTTCTTTGTTGGCCTTATTTAAATGATCCAAATATGGTATTTTAAACCACAGGAAAAACGTTGATGCATGCGCATGCCTGCCCGTCAGAGTGCGTAATCACTGTGCGCATTAATATGCGGTGTAACAATAGCCGCTTTCACACCAAGTACTTTGCCGTACTTAGTTCCCAGCACTTAGTACCCCCCATGGAACTAAGAGCAGATCGCGTTCACACCGGAATAAGTTCCCTGAGGGAAGATTACGCAAATGAAGCCGCTGACGTCACTTCTTCTTCTTCTGCTTTGGGTTTACTAGCAGGCCGCAAACAACTTCACGGCGTATACTGCCACCCAAAGTCCCCGGCCGGAAGTCCCCGGAGTTGGGGACTGGCTTCAGTAGAAGCTGCTGGGACTCCCAGCAGCTTCTATTGAAGCCTTCAGAGTAAATTGCCAGAACGCCGACACCTCCTCATCACTCCGACACCTCCTCATCACTCCGACACCTCCTCATCACTCCACCGCTCCCAAGTTATTCTCTCTCCGCTGGTGCGCGGGGCTAATGCTAATAATGCTAATGCCAGCAAATACAATGGCGGCTTCACAAAACTTTTCAGAGTTTTACGGGGAAATTGGAACTTTTTTCTCCCCAGGAAAGTACCACCTCTCTAGCAGGCACTAAAAATGGGGGTAAAAGTTCTCATGAACTAAGTTCTCTTTTTAGTGTGAACGCAAAATCCCCGGCACTATCGGCACTATCGGCACTAAACGGGAAAAGTACTCCGGTGTGAAAGCGCCTAATGGCTCCAGAACTCCATTAGTAAGGCCGTTCTCCTTTAGAGCCACTAGAGATAATGTTCACATACTGTACCGCCGATGTTCCTCTGCCGCTATTGAAGTCCGTCCATGCCCCGTCTTTCAACGTTAAATCCGAAACTCCACTTCAAAAACGGGCGATCCAAAGATCCACAAAAAAGTCCCCTTTGACAACATAGTTTTTATTTATTTTTAAACAATAATAAAACGATAAGCCTACTGGTGCTCTGGCTCTCACCAGCACCTGTCTCCATCATATACAATCACACCAGGTGCCTAATCACCCAGTGCCCAAACATGCCTTTAAAAAAAAAAAGCATAAAAACGACTTTAACTCACTTAAATGACAACACTTAATAACAATACGTTCACTATAAACAAAAACTGTTAACCTCATTAGCCTCATCATTTAGCTGTGACGCAGCGTTTCCCACAGACGCACAGTATTGACGGCCCGGGTCGTTTACACTTCTCATCCACTCTGTTTGTGGCCTGAACACACAGATCTTTTCTTTTATCGTCCTTTTTTTCTATGTTACAGTAGAGAAAATCGTTACTTTGAATCTTTTTTGTTGTCTGACGTGCTAGAAGCTTTGGGCATGGTTATTATTTTTGCCAGGCAGTGACGTTGCACATTTTTAAAGACAAAGCCCCCAGGAAGTGCACCGGACATTGAAGCAGATTATTGTAGAAGCCAAACGGTGGTACTACTAACTTCTGTGTAAGTCAGTGAAGTCATTGGGTCAAAAATAATCTTTCCCATTGCAAAGAGACGTGTGTAAATCAACATATCAATTCTGGAAACTAAATAAACAACCCAGTACAAACACTTTTATAGCCCTTGTCATCATTAGGGCTAGACCAGAGGCCTGTACGACGAAGCCGGATTTTCGCTTAGCAGGCTAACTTCAGGGAAAACTCGGGGTTTCCGGTCCTACGACGCTGGCAGTGGCGGCCGGTCCATAGGGGCGCTAGGGGCGCCGCCCCACCTCTTCCCATATTGAAAAAAAATAAAAATAATAATAATTAAAATTAAAATAAAAAAAAAAATATATGTTTAAAAAAAAATATATGTTTTTATTTTTATTTTTAATGAACAAGGTAAATATTATATAATTGGTATCAGTAAAATGTATAATCTACAATAAAATCTCGTTTAAAATTGTGTTACGATGTCTAAAGTTACTGATAAGTCACATGTTTCCTGCCTGGCCTTGCCCATGCACCTTCTCTCGTCTGGGCGCTAAGAGAGGAGCCTTCAACCAGTGCAGCATCAGCCACTAGCAGCTGACTGTTGCTATCTGTAACGTGTAAACTATGCCGCGAAAATATAATTTCAGCCAATCAGCGTCGTCAAAGATGACGGTCACCAGGCGCCAATGTCAGCGCCCAGTGCAGTC